ACATCAGCAGTCCACTTAAAGATCGTTTCCAGGCAGTCAACAGACGCATTCATCGGAGCCTATAAGAGATTCACCGGAAGGAAAGGCATCCCCGAGGTTATGTACAGTGACAACGCAACTACGTTCGTTGGCGCCTCAACAGTCCTCAACAAGCTATACAACCAGCTATCCAGAGAGAATCAACAGATCCAGGCTGCTCTCGCCACCAACGGGACTCAATGGAGCTCTTCACCACCGAGAGCACCCCATTTCGGTGGCAAATGGGAGGCAGCTGTCAAATCAACGAAATATCATCTCAAAAGAGTACTTGGGTTGACAGCACTCACCTACTAGGAACTCAACAGCATCCTGATCCAGATAGAGCCCTGCCTCAATTCCAGGTCAATCACACCGATGTCAGATGACACAGAAGACTTCCAAGCACTCACCCCAGGTCATTTCCTAATCGGTGAGCCTCTACAGGTGATTCCAGAGCCATCAATCATCAATGAGAACCCTAGCAAGTTGCAGAGATGGAATCTGATCACCCAGAAAATACAACAATTCTGGTCCAGGTAGTCCAGAGAGTGTCTTCAAAGGTACCAAGCTATCTACAAGTGGAATCAACGACGAGAGAACATCAAAGTTGGAGACATGATCCTGATGGTCGACGAGGACTATCCACCAGCAAAATGGCCACTCCGTAGAGTAGTGGCAGTTCACCCAGGAGAAGATGGCCTCACAAGAGTTGCAACCATCAAAACATCACGAGCAGTAGTACCAACTCGACCAGATGGTATCCCCAACATCGAGAGAATCACCAGTACCAGCATGACATTCATTAGACCCATCACCAAGCTCTGTCTCCTACCGACAGACCCTCCACCAGCAGAACATCCCCCAGAAGACGATCCCGAGCCAGTCAACGAGTAATTATCGCAGAGAAGCAGCAGCAGANCTACCGACAGACCCTCCACCAGCAGAACATCCCCCAGAAGACGATCCCGAGCCAGTCAACGAGTAATTATCGCAGAGAAACAGCAGCAGAGAAATTCAATGCACACTTCATCATCCCTGATGATGAATGGCCCGCGGGATGTGTGAAATTCAGCTATTCAAACGAGTCAAACGGTCACCGGGCTCAACGAAAATCACGAGAAACTTTGGGACCCTTCGGGGTCACGGTCAGCTACGAAGGAAATCGCCAAAAAAGTCAGGAGTATCGTTCTAGACACCGAGAGAGTCAGTCTTCACAGTATTGTATCGCCGTAACCGCTCAATCGAGTACATCACCGGAGTACATCAACGCGATATATTCGAGTCTAGCGCTTCGAGCAGCGTCTCTATGTAATTTAATTCAATTATCAATTAATTCCGAGTTAACTATCAATAATTTTGAGTCAATCATCAAGTTTAATATCGAGAGAATCTCAAGTGCAGTGCATTTTTGAAATCATCATTTAATTGACTTTATCGAGCAAATCAACAGTGTAACATTATTAATTTATCAAGACTCGTGGATTATTCCACAATAAAGTACATCAACAGTGTGGTTTTGTAATTCCGCATGTTTTAATTTTCCACCTCCTTCCACAATTCCACTCCTCCCCCACTGGCATCTCAATTTAGCTTCAATCTCAAACAACATTTTTTGACATTTTTTTTTTAAACCACTTGGTACCGAGATAATTGATCATTTAACGAGCCATCGAAAAACGACTTCTCTCCTTTTACCACTTCGCTACTGATTTGTTTATTCGATATTGGTAGTATGAATATTTTTAGTATGTGTTCATAATAACGTTTCCAAAGAAAAAAAATTCCAAAACGTGAATTCCTTATATTTACTTCCCTTTTCATCGACATGTTTTGCGCGCCCTCCGAATTGAACACGTCACAGAGCAGTGGCGACGCCGCACTGAGAAATACATGGGCGGCGCGGTGCTCACCGAGCGACCAACGACGTTCGGTGGAGAGGTGCGACCACTCAATGGTTAAAATCTCGAGTGCGAAGCACGTGGGATTTTTTTGCAAAATTTAATACTTTCTCATACTCTTTTAGACTTCGAACACTATATACGCATCTTCCAACTCATTAGACTCTAAATACTACACCAACAAAAACAAAATATAAAATTCTATTCATATGTAAATACTTGGCTGAAGGCCCTTGGGCGATGGCCTGTTGTGAGGGATCTACTTTGTATTTCTCTTGCAATAAAATCCATAAATTATTATTATTATTATTATTATTATTATTATTATTATTATTATGAAAAGATGGGACAACATCAGATAATTTTTTGTTTGGATTTCCCAGTCTTATATTAAATGAGCAAGGAGCCTGGGATTAAATCACAAACTTAATACCAATGGAATTGATAGAAATAAGAAGGAACAAAAAAATGGCTTAGAAGAAAAGTCGCATGCCTTCTGTTACACGTGTTGTTACACTACTTGCGGAATTATAGTCACAGACGGAATGGGTGAACATGTTTGCTCTTTCAATCGGAAAGGCGAGAATTATCTCGTTGAACCAATGAATTCTAACCTTTTGCATATTAATTCGTATCATCGGACCCTCAGGGCTCCACTTGGTCTTTATGTATAGTATTCGTACACAAAGTAATAATCAAGCTCCATCAAATCACATTTTACTTCACTCCCCTTTTTATCCCTTCCCAACGAAATTGCTCATGAAATTCCTATTAATCTAACAGTGTACCAAGAGGTTACTTCAACTGTCCACCGCATCACTTGAAAATACTCTGAAAAAGAAATATTATGACCAGCAGAAAGATTGGTTGGAGAACCTCGCAATTATTTTTCCTCTACAACAGCGGATTAAAATTTTATATTGTCCACTCAAGAAGAAAATTTTCCACTATCTCAGTGAAAATTTGACGTTAGGACAAATTGTCAAACGGCTAAATTGTCAAATGAGAATGCGAAGCGGGCGCCATCTGGTAGGGACGCCACGATGTATTACTCTTCGGGATAAAGAAGGGTTTTCAAGTTAGAATTGTCTAGATAAATTAAAAATAATCTTTAGTTGAAAATAACTAGGGAGAAATCTCAAGAACATTGAATTATACGATTTCTGAGGGGTAAAATGGATCATTGCTGTACTCCTATGATTTCATGGGGCAAAATGGATTTGTCGTGTATTACGATGAGTAAACATGGGGGTAAAATGGGTATTTACTGACCTCATACGATTTCGTTGGGGCAAAATGGGCCTTCCCTCTACTCCTATGATTTCAGGGGGGCAAAAAGGGTATTCTGTGAACTTTTACCATTTTATAGGGGCAAAATGGGTTTTTCGGGAACTTACGATCGTAAATAATGTTTAGTTGAAAATAACTATGGAGAAATCTCAAGAACATTGAATTATACGATTTCTTAGGGGTAAAATGGATCATTGCTGTACTCCTATGATTTCATGGGGCAAAATGGATTTGTCGTGTATTACGATGAGTAAACATGGGGGTAAAATGGGTATTTACTGACCTCATACGATTTCGTTGGGGCAAAATGGGCCTTCCCTCTACTCCTATGATTTCAGGGGGGCAAAAAGGGTATTCTGTGAACTTTTACCATTTTATAGGGGCAAAATGGGTTTTTCGGGAACTTACGATCGTAAATAATGTTTAGTTGAAAATAACTATGGAGAAATCTCAAGAACATTGAATTATACGATTTCTTAGGGGTAAAATGGATCATTGCTGTACTCCTATGATTTCATGGGGCAAAATGGATTTGTCGTGTACTACGGTAAGTTCATGGGGGTAAAATGGGTATTTACTGACCTCAGACGATTTCGTTGGGGCAAAATGGGCCTTCCCTCTACTCCTATGATTTCATGGGGCAAAATGGATTTGTCGTGTACTACGGTAAGTTCATGGGGGTAAAATGGGTATTTACTGACCTCAGACGATTTCGTTGGGGCAAAATGGGCCTTCCCTCTACTCCTATGATTTCAGGGGGGCAAAAAGGGTATTCTGTGAACTTTTACC